GAGAGAGAGAGAGAGAGAGAGAGAGAGAGAGAGAGAGGGAGAAGAAGAGCAAAAGAGACCGACCAGCTTGTTTAGGGAGAGCCCTCCAGTTCTCATGTCCATGTTTCTGAATAAAACTGATAAGCCTCAAGTCCTCTGCAGGACTCCATGGACCTCTCTTCACTTGGTTCTTATCACAACATGGAGCTCTTCCTTTACCCATATCTGATTTTTGCTTAGAGTGCTCACTCTTCCTAGTGATGAATTCAAGGACTAAAACAAGAAAACAGAGAGAAAAACAGCACTTCTCTCGTTTTTCTTCTTTCTTTTTCCCTCAGATACCCGATTCTTCAATCACCATTCTACTCTCTTTATATGCATAAATGCAAGAAAGGCCTCAAGGGTCATGCCATGAAATGGGGATACCCTTTTGAAAGCAATATATAGAAGGATATCCAGGAGGATTACTAAATATCTATAATTCCAAATATTAGTTAATTATTCATTGCACCTGCATTGATAGTCTCCCAAGTTCAAAAAAGCTTATTTCACCTCCAGTTGCCTTCTTTGTTTTTCCTTTTTTATTGAATTTATTCCCTAGTGAAATAGTGGCTTAATATAGAAGTAACTATCATAGTCAAAACTTAGATGGTATTCACAGCCCTTGGTTGGCCTCAATTTCAAGCTCACTTACCATTTCTATTATATATTTATATCTTTTTCAAACTCTATTTGATTGGTTACGATGAAAAGATGCGTACCCAAATTTGTGGATGCTTTCAATCAATAGTGTCCGATTTTGGCATGTTTACTCCTGTATCCACCGTCGTTACTCTGTTTTGGTATGTAAATTTGAACGAGATTCATTGCCAATTCAAGATGGGCTAGGTTGACAATTTGTTGAATAATTCATAAAGCAACGCAGCATGTAGTTAAGTGGATTCGGATTTAATTTGTATAATTGCATTCATACAATAATTAGCAACACGATATATAATTAAGCGAATTTGGATTTAATTTATATAATCATATCCATACAATAATTATATAAATTTAATTAAAACATTAAAATTGTTTTGTTTAATTAATTTTTATTCCAAATATAAAAATTTTCATATCTAATTTGTGTTGATAACAAAAGTTGTCAATAACACAGGGCAGATTAAGATTTAGTCTATAATTGTCCTACAATCATATCGTTTTGATTATAACACCAAAAATTTTGTATATATACTGTCAAAAAAAAAAATTCTGTCTATATATGAGTTGACCATCAACACGAAGGGGGAAGCGAAAATGGATACGCAAATCTTGTTTTGTAGGGGAAACATACACTATTAACCACTTCGATGCTGCATATTTGTACTTCATATCTTTCTTTCCATGTTTATTATTTTTGTTTTGCATATTATTATAACAACATTAAATATAAAACATAATTAACAATTCCTAAAGAAATAAAATTTAAACTAATTTATATAACTGGATATTAATAATAAGTAGATGATATTATATTTATATATCTTAATTTTATTGTGCTTTAATCCCCTTGATAGATCCTATTTTTGTTCGAATTTGAATTTTGTATAAATCTGTAATTGTCAATATTAACTTGACTGTGACACAATAAACTTTAAACTTCATGTTAGACTTGAGTTGACTCACTTTACTTTTATATGATTTGGTTTTGAGAAGTTTAATTAGTTAACGATTTTATTGGATTAACCTAAATAATTCTAACACATCTAATTTTCTTTAGACCTATCAAATTATTAACATATTTATAATTGAGTCAATTAATTATGTTTAAGCATGTTAATTGTATTAGGTGGTATTTGTACTGTTAACATGACTAGCTTAATTAAAATGGATTATTAGCAAAAAATCCATATGATTGCATAAACCATTTTCTTATATTTACACTAGATTGCACGTGTGCTGTGTTAGGGTAAAATCAATACTTTTAGGAAATCAGTTGTTATATTGATTATTATATAGATTTGGGTTGAAGAAGGTATGGAAAGAAATTTAGAGGAGCATGTGGACTATTGTGTATTGTTGTTGGTATCATAGAGTGTTGTTGCTACAAACGCTCTGAAACTAATTTTGTAGCCATAGGGTGCCTTCTATTACAAAAAAATGTGTCAAATTTAAGTAATTTTACCAATGTATTGCCAGCATTGTAGTTATATACAAAAGTTATGATTAAACGCAGAGGCTGGTGCCTTGATACAAAAAGGAAAAAGTACTTTGTTATACAACTGGCAATTGAATTTCAATGGCATGTTCATGAACCAATTGTGAGCAAAAAGTCTACAGTTGGGCTATGGATTTATTAGCGTGTTGATTTGGAGAACACCCATATTCCAACAAAAGAGTTTATTGTTAGTATTGTATTTTTTTTTTTTTTGCAAGCAGACATAATTTATATGAAAAAATTAGAAATTATATAGTTAAATGTCATCAAGAGACCTAAATATTGGAATAAATAAGACACTTTGAAAGAAGAAAATAAAGATAACAGAAAGGTAAAATGCAAAAATCATGGTCACTAAGTATATTTTTTAAATGGCGAAGACACAAAAGTTTTGCACATATATGCATAAAGTTTTGCATATGTACGTATAAAGTGATGCTGATGAATCATTAAGTAGAAATATTTCAAAGTGTGGAAGCATTAATGTAACACCCTCAAATTTTTGTGTAAAATAAGTTACCTGGGAATGATTTATGAAATATAGTGTGTCTTGAAGACTTTCAATGATAGATTAAACGCGTTGAGTATACGGAAGCATGCCTAATGACATCTAGGCCAATTTTTATGAATATATTTGGTAAATCTTGAAGTGTGATATTTTGATCAAGATTTCATCATATAATTAAGTATACGTATGAAGGATTTTGAGTAATATGAATGATTTGAAGTGTTTTGACTGAAGGAAAGCGAATTGGAGGCCTTGGGGACGAATTGGAGACTTAAAGAAGTGAAAAATCTAGAAATTGGGTATGATTTACTGATAGATGTTCTACATCTATTGATAGATCCAAGATAGAAGGCCTGAGAAGGCAATTTGGATGAACCTCTATCGATAGATTCACCTTGACTATCGATAGATGTCCACCCGGGAACCAAATGAAGTGATCTTGATAGAATTTATCAATAAATTTGAGAAATTTATCAATAGCTGTATGAAATTAAAGGAAACCAAAGTGAGAAGCATTTATCGATAGATTTGCGAAATTTATCGATAAATGGCCAAACAGAAAAAAATAAAAAGGGGCTAGGGAAAAATCTATTGATAGATTCAAGGAATTTATGGATAGACGAAAGTCAACACCCAAAATTTTTAGAAGAGTTTATCGATAGATGCCTCCTATCTATCTTTAGTTCGCCTCAAAAACACAAAATAAAAGGGGTTGAAGGCTGTCAATTCATTTTAAAAACAAAAAACAAACCCTCTCTCTCAAACCCTTGAAACCCTAACCTCCCAAACTAATATTTAGAGCTATTTGGAGCAAATTGGAGCTTAGGAAACGCTTCTATAGGTAAAATTAAGTGTTTTACCAATTGATTTTTAATTTAATCGATTAATAACTTAACATCGATTTGGTCTAGCCCTGGTAAAATTTTCTCCCTTGAGTTTGTTAGGGATTTAAAGCTGAGATTTGGGAAACCTAGCCACTAAGGTAAGAATTTAGCTCATTAAGCTCATATATTGAATTGGGTTATTTTTGAAAAGTTGAATATTTTCTAAAGTTAGGAAATAAATATTATTTGGATGCTTTGGCGTGTTTAAAGGGAAATTGGAGCTACCTAACTTGTTGGTGAGCTAAACAACAGTTAGAGGCTAGGAATTGGAGCTTGACCGTGGAGCGCGCCTTCGACTATTACTGTGAGTGGGTTTTGTTTGCAAAGCATGTAATGCTTATCGCATTGTTAATGTGCTACCATGGTACTAGAATAGTCTGTATGAATATAAATGCCTAGATAAACTTTCCTAGGCTAGCAAACAAATATATATGTGAATATGCATGCTATGTTTTATGTGACTTAGTGTAAGCCATATAGTGGCCTATATTGTTTGAGCTTAAACTAAGAGGTCTAGTGGATGTGATGGATGTCTAGGAGTAATTCATTCTAGATATTAAACCCCATGAAAGGTTAGAAATATTCAATACCTTGAAGAGTTAAGGACTTTTAGATGAGATATAGAGCAAGAGACGCTTAGAGTCCATAAAAATAATCCATGGTGTGGATTGTGGACTATGAGATATCTATGGCATGATGGCCTCATTGTCGGTTTATGTTTCATCCGGTGCTGAGAATCTTAGATGTTGATATGAATTGAGGTAAAGTGAAGTCCTACACCTTAAGACTATGTATGCTTGCAAAGGTGGTGGTATACTAGGATGATGGTATTAGTCTTGCTTGTGATTTCCACTTGTAGTGCTTTGATGCCATTCGTTGAGATTACTCTCAATGATAGTTATGTATTTAATGACACCCATCTAAACTACTCACAGCAATGCCATCCGTTTGGAGATTACTTCAAATGATGATTATGATTCTCCGCCTATTGCCTCAGCACGCATGTGATTTGATTCTCTATCAACGACTTAACCCTGAGCATGATTTGACTTCGCTGACTGGCCACCATGTGTGATTTGATGATGTCCAAGAAAGGCCACTCTATGATTGTGATTTGAATTTGTGAGTGATATGGCATAGAGCTTAGATAAATTCAATTTGAATTTGATATAAAATTCCCATGACTAAAGTTTGCCTATGGAGAATAACTTTGAATGGCTTTAAGGATAAGCCTAGTGATATACATTACTTGTGGAGACTCTTTAGGGATGGCGTAGTAATATTGAAATACAATCGTAAGCCACTTTTTCACACAATTAAAACTTACAGCTAAGCAGGCGAGATGGCAATTGTTGGTAGCCGAGTTTGATTTCTCATTTAAGCATAAAGTTGGAAAAGCAAACCATATAGCAGAAGCCCTTAGTAGGAAGGTTGAATTTGCAGCTCTAAAGGTGATCATGCCAATGACAACTAGTAAAGTGACCACAAATATCCATAATTTAATTGAGGAAAATTTGCATCAAGACCCCCAAGCAATGGCTATTAGGAAGTTGGTGGAAAGCAAAAAGTCGAAATACTTTTAAGTGGAAAATGGACTCCTGTTAACGAAAAGACCCCACATATTTGTTCTAAGAGCGAGAGAGTTTTGGTAGAAATTAATGCGGGAATGTCACGACATTTTTTGGGCAGGACATCCAGGTTGGCAATGCACTGTTGCACTACGGAAACAAGGTTACTATTAGCCTTATATGTGACAAGATGTGATGGATTATGCGAAGACATGCCTCATTGCCAACAGGACAAAGTAGATAGATAGAAACTGATGAGAATGCTCGAACCTCTACCAGTGTCAATCAAACCCTGAGAAAGTATTTTTT